CATTTGTATTACAATCCATCAATAAATGGTGACTCAATGGCCCCTGTAAACAAACTTTGACCCCTCTATGTGACATTGACACTGGTTGCAGGTACCTTGATTATGTGCGCAATAGTTAGCCTCACAATGGTGAACATTTGTGCCAAGTTATATGAAATCACTCTATGCATGTAGAAGTTTTGCTCCAGACAAGCGTTATTCAATGACCTCTAAGTGTGACCTTGACCTTAAACCTAGGGACCTGGTTCATGCACATGACACTGCTTCTCATAGTTGTCAACATTTTTATGAAGTTTCATTAGAATCCCTTCATATGTGTAGGAGATATGCTCATGACAAAATCTCTATATTTTATCATCTTTATTGAAATTGACCTTGCATATATTAATCTAAATTATTTGTATCATCAGTAGTCATGATAATGACAATTTGTGTTTAGATGATTTCCCTAATAGTCCGAAAACACATTTTCATATTTTTATCTGAACTATGACCAAAATATGTAACCTTGACCTTGTCGACAGGCACCTGAATTTTGCACGCGACACTCTGCTTTACGATAGTGAACATTTGTGCCAAGTTTTATTGAAATCCCTGTATGCATGTAGAGGTTTTGCTCCGGACAAGCGTTTTTCTATTACCTTTAAGTGTGACCTTGACTTTTGACCTAGAGGCCTGGTTCATGCGCATGACACTGCTTCTCAAACTTGTCAACATTTCTAAGAATCCTGACTAAATGATCCGAATACACATTCTCATATTTTATCTGAACTTTGACACATATGTGTGACCTTGACCTTGGCCACATGGACTTTTTTGTACGCGACACTCCGCTTTCCAATGGTGAACATTTGTGCCAAGATATATTGAAATCCTTTTTTGCTCCAGAAAAAACGTTTTTTTATTACCTCTTAGTATGACCTTGACCTTTGACATAGAAACCTGGTTCGTGCGTATGACACTGCGTCTCATAGTTGTCAAGATTTCTATGAAATTTCATTAGAAACCCACTATATGGGTATGAGATATGCTTTGGGCAAAATCTAGATTTTATCATCTTTCGTGACCTTGACCTTGCATATATCAACCTACACCGGTAGTCATGATAATGACCATTTATGTTTCAACTCCTCAATAAATGATGACTAAATGGTCTGAATTACAAATTAACATGTTATAAACTTAATTTTGACCAATATGTGTGACCTCAACCTTGGCCGCAGGGGCCTAAATTTTGAATGCGACCCTCCGCCTTACAATGGTGAACATTTGTTTGAAGACATAATGAAATCCCTGTATGCATGTAGAAGTTTTTCTTCGAAGAACGACCTCTTAGTTTGACCTTGACCTTTGACCAAGTGAGCTGGTTCATGTGCGCGACACAGCTTCTCATAGTGGTGAACATTTCTGTGAAGTTTCATTTAAATTCCTCAATGTGTGTAGGATATATTTTCCAGACAAAATTGGAGTTGTGGATATCAAACGTACCGTTCACAGATCTCCTAAATGACCCCTTCTTGCAGATGTTTCTTGAAAAAGGGGCATATATTCAGAATGATAGCCAAAAAAGCGGGGAGGTTTTGGTCTCCTAAGAACAACTTTACATTTAAATTCTAGAACTCAAAATTTGTTAAAACACTTAATAGTCTTTCTGCTACTCCGCTAAAATGGTCAATATTTAAAGATATTTATGGATTACACAAACAGTTGAAAAGTCATTGGTTGCTACAGAAGTCAATAGTTGTTATGAGTTATCGGTTAATTAATATGGAAAGTCAGTGGCTTCTTAAAAAGTCATCGGTTGCTGAGGAAGTCTATGGTTGCTACGGAAAGCAAGTGGTTTCTGTGGAAGTCAACAGTTGCTTTGAAAAGTCAATATTTTCAATAAAGGTCACTGGCTGCTATGGAAAGCCTTTGGTTATTATAGAAAGTCACTGCTTGCTAAAGAAATCACTGGTTGCTATAGAAAGTAAATGATCGCTATGTAAGTCACTTCTTGCTATTGGAAATCACTGATTTCTATTTAACTATATATTTGCCTCGGAAAGTCACTGGTTGCTATAGATGTCACTGGTTGCTTAGAAAGTCACTTGTTGCTATTGTAAGTCTATGATTGTTATGGAAAGTCAGTGGTTGCTATGGAAGTCAATATTTTCTATGGAAAGTTAATGGTTTCGATTGAGGTCACTGCTTGCTATGGACAGCCAACGGTTGCAATGTAAAGTCACTGGTTGCTTCAGAAAAATTACTACTTGATATAAAAATTTACTGGCTGGGCCAAATTTGATCGAAGGACTTAAATTTTAACAATTATATTGACGTCGACCAAACAATGTTTCATGCAAAATATCTAAGATTTTACCCTTGCAGTTTTCAAGAAGAAGACTTTTAAGAATTTATTATGTAAGGAAGCCATGACCCCATACTGTGGGTTCAGTTTTGACCCAAGGGCTATAATTTGAATACAAACTTAGAGGAGTTCTACAAGAAAGATAATGCTTCATGTCAAACAACTAAGCTTTAGCTCTTGTAGTTTTTGAGAAGGATTTTTTTAAATTCTTTCTTCGCGTATATATATAAGGAAAATCTATGTTCTCCCGGGCCGGGGCAATTTCCCCCAATTGCCGAGTGGTGTCTGAGGAGAGGACTTTGTAAAACAAGAGGGCCATGATGGCCCTGAGGTCGCTCACCTGTATATAGGCCTCCGCCCCCCAGGGCAAATTTTAACCCAAGGGCTTTTATTTGAACAAACTTGGTAGACACCAATAAGATGTTTCATGCTAAACATCTAAGATCTAGCTCATTGGGTTTTTTTCAAAGAAGATTTTTTAAGTTTTTACTATATGCATATAGTTAAAAACAATGACACCCCTGGGGCGGGGCCAGTTACGACCCAAGGGCTTTTATTTGAACAAACTTTGTAGACACTCACTAGAAGATGTTTCATGCTTAACATCTAAACTCTAGCTATTTGGGTTTTTTCAAAAAGATTTTTTAAGTTTTTTCTATACACATATAAGGAAAATCAATGACCCCCGGGCGAGTCCAATTTTGACCCCAGGGCTTTTATTTGAACGAACTTTGTAGACACTCACTAGAAGATGTTTCATGCTTAATATCTAAACTCTAGCTATTTAGGTTTTTTCAAATAAGATTTTTTAAGTTTTTGCTATACACATATAAAGAAAATCAATGACCCCCAGGGGCGGGGCCAATTTTGACCCCAGGGCTTTTATTTGAACAAACTTGGTAGACACCCATTAGAACATGTTTCATGCTAAATATCTAAGCTCTAGCTCTTTGAGTTCTTTAAAAGAAGATTTTTTAAGTTTTTACTATATATATAGGGTCAAAATCAATGACCCCCTGGGGCGGGGCCAATTTTAACCCCAGGGCTTTTATTTGAACAAACTTGGTAGACACTCATTAGAAGATGTTTCATGCTAAATATCTTAGCTCTAGCTCTTTGGGTTCTTTAAAAGAAGATTTTCAAAGTTTTTACTATATGCATATAGGGAAAATCAATGACCCCCTGGGGCGGGGCCTATTTTGACCCCAGGGCTTTTATTTGAACAAACTTGATAGACACTCACTAGAAAATGTTTCATGCCAAATATCTAAGCTCTAGCTCTTAGGATTTTTTAAAAGAAGATATTTAAAGTTTTTTCTTTTGGTTGCCATGGCAAACAGAGTTCTGCATGGAATTAAATTCTTTGAACAATTTTTAAAGGTGACCACCAAAGGAACATTCCTGTGAAGTTTGGATGAAATTGGCTTAGTGGTTTATGAGGAGATGTCATTTAAAGTAAAAGTTTACGGACGGACGACGGACGGACGACGGACGGACGCCGGACGAAAAGCGATCACAAAAGCTCACCCTGTCACTTTGTGACAGGTGAGCTAAAAAGGTAAGGCACGGACGCACGAACGCTTATCCAGTAAACTCTTATAACGCTTATAACGAACTCATTGGGACATCAAAGACCTGTTCCGTATATCCGGAGTTCCTTGTAAGCTTATAGCAAATTTGTTCCTTGTATGAGTTTTTATAGCGAACAGATTTACATATAACAAACTGATTGTTTACTATTGTCCTCCATTTTGAAAAGCATTTGATTAAGAAAAATAATTCATTTGGGTTCGTCATTAAGAATAAACAAGATTTCTATATTTCCTTCCTTTTATATTGAATATCTTCTATTATATATTAAGGTTGACCTTAACTTATGAAAAACATATATTCTTTTCATTTCAATCAAGCATACTTTGTACTTTTAAATCGATTTTACTCATGAAATAGCATGTTAATTATCACAATTATTTTCCTTGAGCAAAACTTTAAAAGAAAAGAAATAATGGAATAAAATGAATAGTCGTTTATCGACTCATGCTAAAAATATCCTAAATAGAAAGCTATTACAAAATGCTATACAAATTCATTTTTATAGCTGTATTGAAGTACATACAACAATAAACGGTACGTTTGACCAAGTTTTAATCCATGCCGATGAAAACAAAAGAAGAAAAGAAGGGATCTATTTACGGATAGCCAATATTTTGGAGTTCGTTATAAAACTGTAATTTTCTGTACTTGTTACTTAATTGGGACTAGAAAATGAGTTCCTTATAAACGATAATTCCTTATAACTGTGTTCGCTATAACCATATTTTTATATTTAATAAAGAAGGGCAAAATTTAGGCCCAAAATGTAATTGTTCCTTATAATCGGAAGTTCGCTATAACTGTGTTATCGATATGTGAAGTTTACTGTTTAGCACAGTATATGATTTAATCTTAATTTGATACCTCTTAACTATCTATACATATATATCATAACATAACATAACATAATAGACAGACAACAGACAGACAGACACACGCACGCACGCACGCACACACACACACACACACACACACACGCGCGCTTTTAAAAATCAGATATCATTTAACAGAACATAAGAAACATCAAGAATATGTCAGTTAATTTTATGCCACTTACTCTTATTTCTTTTAAATCTTTAAGAATAACGGCCGAGGTAACGCTGTCTTTTTTTTTGTTTCTTTCCAAACATCGTGCAGAAAGGCTTACCAACTTATCAACCTTTTCCTGGATTCCGTCTACATCAGTATGCCAGACATTTGTCTATAAACAGAAAATAGACTTAACCTTGTCCATGATTTTCAATGTGTAATAAAAGAAATATTATAGATCCTGTAACACAATTTTTCATGGTTTTATTTCATAAATAAGATGCTCAAATTAAGATTTGGCAATATTGTAAGTTCCAAAAAGCATTATTTATAAAGATATTACCGAATTTAACATTTCATGTAAATAAAGAGAGATAATTAAAAATTTATTTTCTATAAATTCTAAGTCAAATTTTCCAATAACAAATGAATGCATAAAATTTATTGATTAAATATAATGTGCACAAATATTTGCAGTACACATTTTGATTAAATATAATGTGCATCAATCTTTACAGTACACATTTTACATATTCTTTGATGTTTGAAAATTGCTTTATTTGCATAATTATATACATAAATAATTTTTTTCAAGTGTGGTATACACGCAGTAACAATATCAATCACAAAACATACAGGATCTTTAATGTGTGTCTCCTTCACGAACATGAAAATTATCTTTCTTTTAGTACTTAAGTTTAAGAGCAAGTTATAGTAATAGTCCTTCAAGATTGCATTTTACTTTGTTTTAAGTGTTCAATATCAATCCCTAGTAAAGTGTTTAGCAATTACGCATACATACTCAGTAATAAATCAAACACACCAAACGGCCACAAGGTGACTCCTTAATAGTATATCTTTCGACCTTTGCCCGGTGGATTAAACTATTCTCTTTACATACAGTTAATTCATAAACAAGGGCATCGCATGCGATGTTTAAGCTAGTCTGTTTAGGGCAAGGACAACCAATATCAATAACAATGTTTTAGAAAATGTAATAAGTTAAAAAGGGGCATAATTCTCAAAATTCAGCTTCAGACTTACACTTCTTGTCTTGCAACTGTGCCGTGCCATGAGAAACAAGTATTCCTAGATTCATGTTTATATCTTTTATACTGTTACACCTCTCTTATCTAATAATTATTTGTGGTAGCGTGGAGCAGACAGGAACAATGCCACTGACAGAATTTACAGTCTGGGTTCAAAAATGGGAAAATTTTAATTTAATTTGCAGTCAAACTCAAGTCTAGTTAACGTTTCAGCCACTTTTCTTTTTTGGTAACAGTGCCAAAAAAAATCAAGCGGAAAATAAAGATACCATGCACAACTACGCATGGTGACAAACAATCCTGAGAAGTTTCACTGAAATCCCCCAGCGGTTTTGGAGATGAAGCACGGACAAACTATTTTACTCAAAAATTTATCATTAAAGGGCCATAACTGTGCAAAAAAAGAAACGGAAACTAGAAATGTGTCCATAGGACACGGGTGCCCCCACCGCGCCACTGTTCTGTCAATCTTATGACTCTAGGTCAAATATTTTTTGAAAACTAAAAATCTTTTACTAAGTAAAAGGCAAAACTTAATATGCTGAGCAACCTTCCCGTAAGGTTTAATGACTCTATGTCAAATCCTTTTTGAGTTACATGCGACACAAGTTGAAAATTGCAAAATTTTTCTAAGTCAAGGGCAATAACTCTAAAAATACTAAATAAATCCAGACGAAAATACCCAGGTGCACAACTACACATGCTGATCAATATTCCTGTAAAGTTTCATGACTCTATGTCAAATCCTTTTTGAGTTACATGCGACACAAGTTGAAAATTGCAAAATTTTACTAAGTCAAGGGCAATAACTCTAAAAATACTATATAAATCCACACGAAAATACCCAGGTGCACAACTACACATGCTGACCAACATTCCTGTAAAGTTTCATGTCTCTAGGTCAAATACTTTTTGAGTTATATGCGACACAAGTTGAAAATTGCAAAATTTTACTAAGTCAAGGGCAATAACTCTAAAAATACTAAATAAATCCAGACGAAAATACCCAGGTGCACAACTACATATGCTGATCAACATTCCTGTAAAGTTTCATGACTCTAGGTCAAATACTTCTTGAGTTACATGCGACACAAGTTGAAAATTGCAAATTTTACTAAGTCAAGGGCAATTACTCTAAAAATACTAAAAGTATCCAGACGAAAATACCCAGGTGCACAACTACACATGCAGTCCAACATTCCTGTAAAGTTTCAAGACTCTAGGTCAAATACTTTATGAGTAACGTGCGATACAAAAGAGAACGGACGGACGGAAGGACGGACGGAAGGACGGATGGACGGACGGACAAGGGTAAATCTAAATGCCCGCCACTAAATTAGGGGGCACAAAAAATATTATGCACAACTAAGCTTAGTGACGAACAATCATGTGAAATTTATAGAAATCCCTAACCGGTTTAGAAATGACCATTAAGGGGCCATAACTGTGCCAAAAAATGCAAGCGGAATATCAAGATACTATGCACAACTAGGCATGTGACGAATAAGCCTGTGAAGTTTCACTGAAATCGCCCAGCAGTTTTGAGATGAAGCGCGGACAAGCTTATTTTACTCAACAAGGGCAACATTGTCGCAATATACGCCCGTCAAAGAAGCTTTTGACGAGATATGGGCATTATTGATATGCATATAGGAGATATGCTTTGTGCAATATCTGGAAAATATCTGGATATATTATCATCTGTAGTGATTTTTTAATCTGAATTTTCACCCCTATGTGTGACCTTGACCTTAGCTGCAGGGACCTAAATTTTGCATGCGAAACTCTGCCTCTCAATAGTGAACATTTGTGTCAAGTTATATTGAAATCCCTCTATGCATGTAGAAGTTTTGTTCCGGACAAGCTTTTTTCAATGACCTCTCAGTGTGACCTTGACCTTTTACTTAGAGACCCCGTTCCTGCACGGGACACTGCTTCTCATTGTGATGAACATTTCTATGAAATTTCATTACAATATCTCCGTATGTGTAGGAGATATGCTCTGGACAATATCTCTATATTTTATCATCTTTAGTGACCTTGACAATCATCTTTAGTGACCTTGTCAACCTAAATTACATGTTCACACCGTAGCCATGATAATGGACATTTGTGTTTCAATCCCTCAATAAATGATGACTAAATGGTCCCAATACACATGTTCATATTTTTATCTGAACGTTGATTCCTATGTGTGACCTTGACCTTGGCCGCAGGGACCTAAATTTTGCATATGACATTCCGCCTCAGAATAGTTAACATTTGTGCCAAGTTTTGCTCCGGACAAGCATTTTTCTATGACCTCTAAGTGTGACCTTGACCTTTGACCTAGAGGCCTGTTCATGCGTGCTTCTCACTGTGGAAAACATTTCTATGAAGTTTCATTAAAATCCCTCGATAGATAAAGGAGATATATTCTGGACTAAATCTTGGACGCTGTCCACCCAGCCGGAAGGCTGCCCGCCCGGCCGAAATTCCACCAACCCTCTAGGGGGAAACTATAATACGACCCATTTTAAAAGGGTGTATAATAATTGACCATAAAGGGGCCATAACTGTGCCAAAAAATCAAGCGGAATAGCATGATACTATGCACAACTAGGCAGTATGACAAGCAATCCTGAGAAGCTTCACCGAGATCCGCCAGCGGTTTTGGAGATGATGCGCGGAAAAGATTATCGGACCGACGGACAGACAGTGCGATCACTATATGCCGCGGCATAATAAATAAATGAATAAATAAATAATAATAACAAATTCTGGCAACCTCTGAATTCTGGAAGTCAAAGAGGTCGTCCCCCATTTTAAGGTATAAATGGTCGAAAGCAGACAAAAGCTATTAATCTAACAATATGTATCAATGATACTTTACCAAGTCTGGTATAGAGACAATGGATCTACGCCGACAGACAGCAGGACACGAAATGGAGTGAGGAAACGCTTACAACTCAAGAAAACACACGAATCTTAAATTCCGTGATGAAATTAGGAGGACACGCAAGGGAAATTGGGAACGATGGGAACAAATATATCCGATAACAGGGCGTCAACAAACAATAATTTCATTCTTAAGGTAGTACACCCCTAATGGGCACTATAAGGATTTGTAAATTTGACAACATAGGACAGTTATATGCCTTAAATGTCACCTGTATGCAAAATTTAAACAAAATTTACCGTGTGGTTTTTGAGTTATGGACATTTTTATGAACTAAAACTTTGCCATTAGAAGGGATTTTTTCAGAAATGAGGAAACTCTAAATAATCTATAATATCATCATTATGAAAAATGTTTTCCTTTTGCTCATTGTTAAGAAATAAATAATGGCCTTTAGGTAACAAATTAAACAAGCAAAATGATTGTTTTTAAACGAAATGTTTTAAATATGTATAAAAATGTAACCTTACCCCACCCACTTTTAACACTAATTTGACCATTTCCGTATGTAAAAAGCTTTATTTAAAATATCCCTAAAATTTTCCAAAATGAGGGGCTATTGTCAAAGTTTGCCTAAATTCTCTTTAATGTATATTGGTTGGTCTTGCAAAATATAAAATACTTTTACCGTTTAGTTTTTATTTTATTAAACTTTGAAAATATCTGGTATCATATTTGCTATTAAATTTGGCATTATTTAGTAAATAAATACCTATAATAATTATATAATTAAAATAAAACACTTTTTTCTTCCATAGATTAATAAAAATAAAAAATGTGAAAAAGAAAAAAAAGAAAGAAAAAAAAATTGCCCCTTCTGGGGTTTGAACCCACGCCCTCTCAGTTTCAATACACTTTACAGTGATTTTAGCCTATTTGAATACTCTTCAAAGTGGAGACAGTGCATTAGGGGTGTACTACCTTAAAATAACTATTTGTTTGAATGTGAAATGAAGTAAAGTGGAGGAATCTTATCGCGCATTCGTGAACTACATACACAAATGATTTATGCTAACGAAACATGCGACCACGGACAGCAAATTCATAAATATTAAATGTTAAATACAAAAAATATAAATAAAACGTTTGAAATCGGTCTATTCAAAGTTAAAAAAGGGGCGTAACTCTAAAATATTGCTTTCAGGATAATGTTCCTTGTTTTAAAAATGCGCCTTGTCATTACAA